ATACACTCAACTTCAACAATCGCGCTAAACAAACGCTGTAACGTCTCTTGTGCTCTCTGACTGCAGTTCAATTACTCACTGTCTATACACACACATTACATTACATTCCCGCGTCACGTTTTCCCCCTCTTATATATACCAGCCTACCCTATCTAGTAAATACTAGAGCATTCGCCAAAGTACATGATAATTCTAGAAACGTTGCGTCACAGTAGTCATGTGACTCGCTGACGCAACACTGCCCTCCTTAATATTGTTCGTCCCGAACAATAACCACATATGATAAACCAATAACAATAACTTAATTAAAATGTACAGAATTACAAACACAAAATTACAATTCAACAAAGTCTCTTAATTTTACGGGAGACGGAGACCAGTACGGAACGGTGAAGCTCTTGGTGAAGTTACTACCACCGATGTGACTGTTATCGATGATGGGACATTTACTGATGAAGCAGATGAACTCCACATGAAGCAGAAGCCAACAATTTCCCTTCTCAAAACTGAGTAGAGTTTCTTCTTCTTCGACAGTGGCTTTTCCAGGTGACACGTCTTCAGCGGCGTCTTTTGTTCTGTTGTTCACTTTGTCTCAACTGAAATGTCTTGGACCGAGATAACGCCAAAGCCTGTTGGCATGCACCACCTTTGGCTTACCTCGCTGACCACATTTTATTCGGAAAGTCACGTTTGAGAGACGATCCACTATGTCATATGGGCCTTCCCATGGAGAAGACAACTTAGGAGACCTCACTTTGGTCTTCCTGAGATTATACAACCACACCTTGTCTCCTGGTACAAAGCTGACTTCAGTAGATCTCTTATCATAACATAGCTTCATCGAATCAGCAGGCGTTTTCAAGTTTGAACGCACTTGATTATGAATATCATCCATTCTTTCCGATAACACTTTCACGAACTCTGACACATTTTCAGGCAACTCTTCATAAGGTGGGCGTCCTGTTAACAGATCCACTGGCAACCGAAGTTCCCGACCAAACATTAACTTTGCTGGAATATATCCAGTGGCTTCATGCTCTGCTGTTCTATAGGCCATCAACAGTGGAGGGAGAAAGACATACCAGTCATCTTGGTGGCTATTACAAAACTTTGCCAATTCCTGTCCCAGTGTCCAGTTGTACTTTTCTACCATCCCATCAGACTGTGGGTGAAGTGGTGTTGTTCTGGTTATTTGTATTCCAAACAATTTGCAGCATTCATGGCACACAGCTGAATCAAAGTTACAGTCGTGATCTGAATGCAGTTCGTATGGCATACCAAATCTGAAGAAGAAATCACTAATAGCCGAAGCTACATTTGTAGCTTCCTGATTTGGTATTGCATATGCCTCAGGCCACTTGGTGAAATAATCCATTGCCACACAAATGTATCTGTTTCTAGCACGAGTTTGGGGCAAAGGACCAGCAATGTCAACAGCTACTCTTTCTATTGGTGCGTCAACTTGATATAACTTCATTGGAGCACGTCCCTTATGCTTGGTCCCCTTTTAGCACAACGTGTACTGCAGATCCTGCACCATTCTTCCACATCTTGCCTTATATCTATCCAGTAAAATATCTGTCGTAGGTGACTCAATGTCTCCTTAACTCCGAGATGTCCTCCTGTTAAACTATCATGGGATTGACGCAGCACTTTCTCGGTATAACTGTTTGACAGGTCGTCATTTTCCCCATCTGCAGTTTCCCATCTCCGGACAGAATACCATCTTCAAGCTTCAACTGGTCCCATTGTGCCCAATAGTTCTTTGTCACAGGGCTTAAACTAGACAGCTTCTCCCAAGAAGGACACAAAACACTTGGTATTTCTCCTGTTCTGCTTTGATATCTATATTTGGTTCTATTTCACCATCATCAACTCCTTCAGTCACTTTGACTTCAGCTTGATAACACCTGGTTAGCTCAACCTCTTTTGCAGCAATGTCTGCAGTCATTTTTGCAGGGTCTTTGGCTCAGTCCATTGGCATTTAAATGAGATTTTCCTTCTCTGTATTCAATATCATAATTATACTGGTCTATCTTTCCGATCCAACGTGCCAGTTGTCCCTCTGGGTTATTTAATGATCTTAACCAGCGTAATGCAGCATGGTCTGTCCTGATGGTAAACCTGGCCCCATAGAGGTAAGGATGGAAATATGTCAGACTTTTTACTATAGCAAGGAGTTCCATCCGTGTTACACAGTAGTTCCTCTCTTGTCTACTTAGGACCCTACTGAAGTAGGCCACCACATGTCCGTTTTCACCCACTTTCTGAGACAGCACTCCTCCAATTTCGATATTACTATCATCACAATCCAGTATGTATGGCAGTGAGGGATTTGGAAGCTTTAAGAGTGGAGATGAGGCCAATTTTTCTTTCAATATCTTGAAAGCATGCTGGCAAGAAATTGTCCATTAGAACTTCTAGCCTTTT